ACAGCCATGAGACAGGAGTCAATGGTACAAATACGTCCTTAAAATAAAGTCTGTGAACATGCCGTCCCATTAGTGACCGAGATAACCAGCTTGCAAACCAACAGGCTGCTTGCCCAGGACATATTTCTTTATTATAGGGTTCGTATAAATGGTTATACCATTGTTAATTACAGTTTTCTGCTGAAAACAATGGTTCCAATCATTTCATGTGAGGCTGTGTGCGTTTGTGGAGAGACGGAGAGGTCAATGTCTACTAGTCTAGAGAAATATCCAGCCTAAAGGATCATTTATTTCTCTGCTTCACTACACTGTTCAATTCTCTCCAAACCGGCTCAAAAAAACACCCAGATAAACACACAAGCATTGTCTGACTCAATCAAACCCATACACACACAGACACAAACACACACAGACACACACACACACACAGACAGAGATGTGCAGGTAAAGCAAAATCTAACGCAGCACTCACACTGACCAGCATCGACCACACAATGATGCCCTCTGCAAGCCAAAAGTCAAATATTTGCAGAGAGCCAATAAAAGTGACAGCTGTTTTTTTAAATCTGAAAGATTAGCAATAATGTAGAGAGGGCTGCTGCCAACAGCCGCCAAAAGCCATCAACCAATCATGTGAAATCAGCTGGAAATATGATAATGTCATCAGTCAATAGTGTGGAAATAAGTAAGTGGTTGGTCATAGTAAAAAACTAAAAAGTAAACACTGGCGGAAATGCTTTAAAATGTAAAAAGTACCATTACTTCCTTTTAGGCTGAGACAGTTTGTTTATATTTAAACTTTTATCATGAGAAAACTCCTAACCTTTACTTTCTTCCCCCGACTTTTTTTTTTTTTTTTCCGTAAACCTCCTCTCCCTTCTGACGCGGCTCAAAAGCTTTTCAGCCGTGTGTGTGACTTTGAATTGTTTGATTTGTTGTGTACATGACTGTCTTTGTAGTATTTTGAGTGGGTTAGTCATATATAGGAGTTTGGCTTAATTGTGTGCGCATGTATGTAGTTAGCGTGTATGTAGGCTTGGCCCATGTGCGTATGTGTACGAGCACACGCATTTTGTCAAAGCACAACTGTATCTATGTCCCATTTTTTGTGTGTGTGTGGAAGTGTTTGAGCAAAAATGAGCTAGCAGTATTTTCTTGGCTGCACAGTGAGACGCTCACTACAATTTCATCTGCTTCGTCGTGCCATTCATCAGTTGACAAATCCTTTCAATATAGTCTACCTGGCCTCGCTCGCTCATCATTTTAAAGGAATTACAGTGTCTGGGGAGAGAGGGGGAGAAAGAGAGAGAGAGGAGGAGAGTGGGAGATTAGAGAGCGAGGTGAGGGGAAGTAACACGAAAAGAGGATGGAAGTAGAACAGCAAAGATAAGGCTGGTATCTATTCAATATCATCTGCCCAGTTCAAGCTATTCGCTGTTGAAGGGCGGAGAGGGAAAAAGAAGGATTCAAAGCATAGGAGGGAAGACGAAGGTGGAAAAAAAGGTGTGAAGGAAGGGAGGACACAAGACAGATATGACGGCCATTTACACAAAGATCTAAAGAGGCCATCTCTGCAGCTACTTTGGTTGAGTGGCTGCAAAATAGAAACCTGCCCTTCAAGATGAAGAAAATGTGGTTGGGTTAAAGCATGTAAGTCACTGGGGTTATCAATGAGGCTACTGCTGCAGAAGAGGAATGATTAAGGTTAGGCTATAAGGCCTGGGAGGACGGGCCTGTAGGGGGCTTAACAGGAAGTTATAGCATAATAAAGCCAGCCCTCAATGGGTTTGCATACTATAATTTCCCATAATAGGTTCACATACACTCAGTGGTCTAGTTATGTACACCAGTACAATCTAATGCAATCCAACACGACAGCTTTGCAATAACATCTATCTTTACAAACTCATAATGTCCATTTTTGGAAATGTATGAATGTATTGGATTGCTTTTAGACTGTACAAGTGTACCAAATAAAGCATATGGGAGGATACGTCTTACAAACAATTGTGAAAAGAGTTTGTATGATCTTAAAATATGCACACATTTAAAATGTAATATGCATCTCTCTCAGTTTAATGTAATATTAATTTAAAAAAAAGTTCCGTTCATTAGCTTCCGCTTATCCGGGGGCAGCAGGCTTAGGAGGGTGTTCCGGACGCCCCTCTTCCCGGCAGCGCTTTGCAGCTCCTCCTAGGGAACCCCGAGGTGTTCCCAGGCCAGACGAGATATGTAATCTCTCCAGCATGTTCCGGGTCTTACTAGTTGGACATAATTGGAAAACCTCTCAAGGGAGGCATCCAGGAGGCATTCTGATCAGAAGCCTGAACCACCTCAGCTGGCTCCTTTCGACACGGAGGAGCAGCGGCTCGACTTCGAGACAAGGAGACAAGGGACAACCCTGGCGGAGGCCAACACGCACTGAAAATGTGCTCGTCTTTGTGCCGAGTATCCGGACACAGCTCTCATACAAGGACAGTATGGCCGGCAGCAACAACCCAGGTACCCATGGTCTCCAAGTCCACAAAACACATGTAGACTGGATGGGCAAACTCCCATGACCCATCCAACAGACTTGCGAGGGTAAAGAGCTGGTCCACTGTTCCACGGCCAGGACGGAATACACGTTGCTCCTCCTGTATCTGAGGTTCGACAATCGGTCGGAGCCTCCTTTTCAGCACCGTGGAATAAACTTTACCGGGGAGGCTGAGCCGTGTGATACCCCGATCGTTTTAAAATTAGGAACCACCACCCCGGTCTGCCACTCCACGGGCACTGTAGCAGACCTCCACGCAACACTGAAGCGACGTGTCAGCCAAGACAGTCCGACAACGTCTTGTATTGTTGATATCATTGCTAATAGTCATTAAACCATATTTCCCAGGTTTTGAGGGGTTAAGCTTTGCTGTCTGTTCTGCAAGTTCTGCAAATAGAAAAAGCTAAAGTGTCTGCTGTTTATTAGCATAATGAGCCTGGATCCACACCTAAGTGACATATCTAAAAGCGAGACACGTAAATAGAGTTAAAATATTCAAATAAGCAATGACATCAGTAATATGATTCCTGGAAGGTACTTGAAAGTGGCTCAGGGTATGTTTGAGGCAAGTCACTAAGATTTCATTAAGACTTTAGCATGCAGTGTCTTTCACACGGATAAAGCAGAATTGTCTTAAATAATATACTTTGGACGGACTCTTTTCATATATTTGAGAAAGGTATTTTGCGGTTTGCTAAAATCCCAAACTATAAAACCTTAACTTTCTGGGTAGACTAGTAGTGTACAACTGTAACAGAGCATACAATGGCCCCTCCGCCAGCTCTTCATCCTCTCTACTCCTAACTGGTATCATTTGTTTTCTGCATGCTCAGTAATACATCCTTTATGACCTGCTCACCTTTGCATTTGAATCAGATGCCTATGGGTATTGCTCCCCACAGTTAGGGGATTCATTCTCTGTATTTATCTAAAATGCTGTTTCGACACTTCACTGTGTCAAAAGCTTTAATGGTGCTCTCATCGCTCTGCTCAGCTCATACTAAGCCAAGAAGAAGAGAGGCGGCACGTAGGAAGGAAAGCAGCTGACTGCACTTCATTCTTATGAAGACTATAACATGGAATGAAGACAGACAGAGGTGTGAAAGCGAGTGGAAGAAGGGAGGGCATAGAAAAGAAGGGGAAGCAGTGGGAAAGAAACTGGTGAGCAGATTGAAGAAGGAAGATGCAGGACTTTCTCAGATGTAGTGTGAAGAGTGTGATAGGTCTTCTTTGTGTATTTGTATGACGTGACAACAGTCAAAGACAACAAAAAATGATGCCTCTTTTTAAAATCAATTAGGATTTAAGTAGTCAGAATTTCTATCTCCAGCAACATCAGCATCTCCGCCTGTAGATGGTCCTCCTGGCAGAATAAAAGTGGTTCAGAAGCAAAGAGGCGGCAAAGAGAGGGGAGTGGAGAGAGAGAGGGAAATAACAGGGGATGAGAGAGATGGGGTGAAGGCTGGGAGCTACATGGGATGAGGGTGTAACCTATTTGTTGTCAAACAGACTGAAAAATGACAGAGAGCCAACAGAGCCTGAAAAATAGGGTGCCCTGTACACAGAACAAGAGAGGGGGAACATGCCGTATGGAATAGAGGATGGGAGAAGGGGCAAGAGGGAGGGTTGTGATGCTTTTCTTTTGACTCTGTTGTGTGTTTGTGTATGTGTGCTGGCTACAGGGAATACCAATCCTTTTCAGTCTCTGCATGAGCTGAGTTGACTTTTCCTATGACCCACGCATCACTCACTGTTGAAGGGTTTGTTTGAGTGTGTGTGTGTGCAAATGCACACGTCGCATTTTAGACAACATAATATTGGAGACACATAACCACGTTTTCTTCATGGCAAAACTTCACTCTATACCTCTATCTCCTCTATCCTTCTCTCACTCGTCCCATCCCCTTCCCTCTTTTTCTCAGTTTTTCTCATATTGTTGTTTCAATTTCACACGTGAGCGAGCAAACCTAAATAACCAGCAGAAAGAAAGGCAAGATGAAAGAAAGAGAAAAAGAGTGAGAGACCGAATTTTTTTTTATCTGCCCCCCTCTCCCTCTCCCTCTTTCTGCTTGGTTTCAAGATGACTCTGACATGTCTATAAGGTGATATTAACACACAATGACTGCTCCCAGCTGTCCAGTAACACACTGGTCCAGTGTGTATGTGTGTCTTACAGCCTTACAGATTTTCCTATGGTTGATCTCATACAGCCTCACTCACCACACTGTAAAACAGATCAATGTTAACCCTTTCAATGATGTTTTTGCTGAAAACACACAAAGCAATTGTAAAGAAGAAAAAAGAATGATAGAACGCAAGAAAGAAGAAAGGAACTCAGCAACCAAGGAACAAGGAAAGAATGGAAGGAAGGAAGGAAAGAAAGGGAGGGGAGAGGGCAACAAAGATGGGAGAACAGATAGAAGGAATGAGAGAAAATAAAGTCATAGAAGGATGCGACTCATACCACTTGTCCGTTCTGGGGATTTTTGTGGGCGTAGGGAGGACCTCTGATGTGATTCCACATCTGGCCGGATGTCATCGCAAAAACTACACACTATCACGAGGGGGGGGGAGAGAGAGAGAGAGAGAGAGAGAGAGAGAGAGAGAGAGAGAGAGAG